ACCCTCGTGCAGACAAGGACAGTGTTTGAGCATAGTCTCTGTCCTCTGCAGAGCTCAGGAGTGGGGCTTTGAAACTGGGACACCGGGGATGCCACCATCTCCTGCTCCAGGCACCCCTAGGAGCTCTGCTATATGACTGTGCTGCAAAGTAGGTTGACCTTGGTTAAGTGGGTCCAGAAACTCTTCCCTGTTTTACCAGAGTAGCTGTCTTTCATGCGTCCTCTAGCTGCAGCCTGCTATTCCCTGAGTCACCCCTTGATTCTTTGTTACTTTAAATAATTGCATTACATTGGCTACTTTCCAGCATTTAGGGCTCACTGTGGACTCTGTGAATGTAGAACATTGCATACCTGTCCCTAGTTCTTCTCAATTGCTGAATATATAGAGCAAAACTAGTCAGTCCTTCCTCATCGCTAAAACAAACCAAATGTGCACCTCACCATGGTTTGGGGGAAATGCTTGTCCTCTGTTCCCCCTGCCTGCTGGGTGGGGAACCCGCTAACACTGTCCTCACCAGGCAGAAAGGTTTCAGACAGCCTGAGCTGGCTGAACAGCGTCTGGCTTGCTCCTGAAGAGTGCAAAAAGGGGTTGGAAAACAGGACTAGCATTTGGCCCTAAGACCCTGGACGTGGGCTGCAGCAAACGAGCCACAAGCTCACAGGAGGGTCTGGGTGAACAGGAGCCCTTGTACGTGTCTAGCCCAGCTTTCTGCTCAATCAAGGCCAACTCCAAACTAGATCAGGTTTCTCAGGGCTATGTCCAGCTCGAGTCTGCGTATTTTCTGCACTGGAGTCTTTGCAGCCTCTCTGGGCCTTCCAGTGCCCCGGGGAAAAATATTTTTCCTTACATCCAGTTGGAGTTTCCCTTTGCTGCAGCTTGTGCCCCTTGCCTTTCACTGTACACCTCTGGGAAGAATCTGGACTCTGTCTGCTTTATGACCCCCTTGAGGCAGTTAAAAGCTGCAACAGGATCCCCCCCTTCACCTTTTCTTCTCAGTGCTGAGCAAGCCCCACACCCTCAACCCCTTCCCATACATACATGCATAAGTGTGTGTGCACATCAGCAGCAAGAGCAAGCCCTCCACGCGGCTGCTTTCCTAAACGCTCGTCAGGCCCCCACCCACAGCAAATCCAAGGTTTGTCTGATACGCCAGCCCACCATGGGGTAGTTTCCTCATCAACGAGGAGATGTTATTGTTCCTTTGCAAGCTGCCCACCGGACAGGCTCAACACCCAGTCACATGAAGCTATCAGCAGACTGTCTTGGCCCGCAACCCAAACACATGGCCCCCTCGCTTCAGGGACAAGAAACAGCAACGACATGCTCATTTTCTTCAGAGCTGACCATTAAAACTCATTTATCCTCCTGCAGCTCTCATCAAGCCAGAACAATATCTCCAGAGCAAAGCCCAGAGAATAGTTTCAGAGGGTTAAAGCCACCAGATTCCTCTATCGTGGCAAAAGGATGTATTTTCCCCTTTTGTCTCTATCTTCCCTCCAAGCCAAATCTGCTGAGCCCAAGAGCCAAAGCTGAGCACCACCTCTGCCATTAGCAATCGCCATGATGCTGGCCACTGGTGTCCAGCAAAGCATACTGCCCTGGTGCCTGGCGTGAGCCTCCCCAGGGCAGAGCGGGCAGCATGTGGAAGTCAGCAGAGCCCGAGCCAGCACCCACATCCCCGGAGATCCCCGAGGGACAGGGAGGTGCTGATGGGTTGCCTTCTTCAGCTGTGCCCCGGGCACAGGGTCGAAGAGCGGAGCAAGGTGCCACTGAGGCAGCGCAGGGGTGGGAATCCCGCACGAATCTTGTGCCCCACAGATCATTCCCCCACATGGAATTGCACAACTGGGAGAAACAATCAGCTGTGCAGAGGACCACTCGTTAAAAAGACCGACCGAATACCCCAAGCATCAGCATGCAAACAGGCAAAGTTCAGTAAGGCATTTACAGCCTAGCCTTGACGGACAATAGTTAGTATTTGGCTCTGTGTCCCATCCTGCTTCTGAAATCATGACATGGGTAACAGTGCAGGGGAATCCATGTGCACTTTTGCTGCTTCAGTTTTTAAACATCCACAGTTTTCTTTAATAATTCTAAATATCCCACTTGGAGAACAACCCCCAGTCCTCTAAAGAGAGCAGAAAAATCAGTGATTTACTCTCATCACTCTCGCACTTTGTCTCCAGCGAACTCTAACACAGTTGTCATTCAAATATTTCAATTCAGCATGACACCTCAATTTAGTTTTTAAATGGTAAGAGCAAAAAGGTCTTTTTAACCTGCTATTTTAGAGACCTTACTATAAATGCTGCCTTACAAGATTCTCCAGCACACTAAGAAGCTAGATCTCCGTACACAGTCTTAGAAGAAATCAGCTGGAAATAACTGTGGGCACTGAAGATGCAAAATACTTTAAATACCATTTTATGTGCTGCACATGCAACATTGAATAGTCATGGCTCTAGCTTTTTCCAATAATATGAAAAATGGTATTATTAATCCCACTCTTCATCCCGTGCCGAGTACATTTTAAACTTACCCCAGGCTAGTTGAAGATCCTTCAGCACTGGTGGTTGCCAGAGTTGGGAATTAGCACTGAAAGAGTGCAAGAAAGGAGAGAGAGAGAGAGAGAGAGAGAGAGAGAGAGAGAGAGGAGAGCAATGGTGGCTTGACGTTTCCCAGGATGGGACTGTCACATGCTAATCACCGATTTGAAACGCAAGCATAACAAATGCCTTCTAATTATGTAATCTTCAGGTCACATCCTTGCATCCCCATTCAAAAATCAGGACTGCGTGCTTGGAAGAAGATGATACCGACTTTTTTTCCTTTTTAATTAGAATTGCATGCTGCTGCGAAGGGAGGGTGAGAAGCCCTGTGAAACGCCGGGCAGAGGGGGCCGTGTGGTGGGAGCCAGGTGCTGATGCTGTCTGCGCTACTTCACCGAGCTCAGGGGCTCGTAAGTACCTCCGGTGGCATCCAAGCAAGGCAGCCTGCTGCTGGGGACAGGGAGACGGGACCAGCTCCTCCCCGCGTTCTCTGACACCCTCAGCTTCCGGGGTGCCACCCACCAGGGGTGCCAAGAGGGCTCCCCTTCTCTCACTCAGGGGCCAAGAGCAAGGTCACCAAAGTAGCCAGGGCAGGGGAACAGCAACCACCAGCACTTGTATATTTTCTGTTGTTTGTTAGATCATGAAAATTCTCCTTTGAGTAAAAATAAGTAAGGGCTTGGAGGGAGGTGGGAGAGTGGGAGGCAGTAGCCCTCCATGCTGGCTCCGGTTCTTTACTAAGGTCCCGCAGGGCTTTTTGCCCCAAAGGGCACAAGAAGGCACGGGGAGAATGCAGGTAACCCAAGGCCAGGGGTGTCAGGAAAAGGTTTGACCCAGTCCAGTGAGTTCTCCAAAGCATAAGAGCAGGGAGACATAAAGGAGGAGGAACAGTAACAAAAGGCTAATTTCTCCCTGAAAGACAATTTCTGCTTCAAAGATACCCTTCAGGCAGAAAACCTGAAATGTAAAACCGCACAGCCTAAATCAGTGTAATTGCTGTGCAGCACAGATAAACGTGGTGATCTGGAGCCCTAGTAAAGGAGCTGAAAGGGCAGGCTCACGGATTAACAGAAGCTCTGTGGAAGATGCTGCTACCTCTGAAGTCTAGGACTAGGGACAGAGGATGCTGTATTTCTTTTTCGGAGCTGGCTATTTCAGGAGCAAAACACAACAAAACTGAACAAAATAAAATGATCATTCTGAACGCGTTTCCTGGAAATTGCATTTTTGGTGGATCGAAGATACCTGTGAGTTCAACAAACAGCTCAAGCTAGGAAAGATTTTCTTTTTTGATAAATAAAACCATTTATTTTCACAAATTTATGAACAAAACATTTCAGAGATTTTTGCCTACAGGCAGCTTTAAGAAGAAGGGCTGAAATACATCATATTGCCAAACGATCTATGAGCTGCTTTGTTTCAGATGGCCCCGTATGTTTCAGTCTGCTGATAACGTGCCGTTTTTTCTTTTTGCTATGAAACCACAGGGCCCGAGATTTTCCCAAACCTGGCATAATGAGCTGAGTACTTGAAGGCATATCTGAAGGAACAGCATTTGTAAATTGTGTCTGCAAATGGAGGCAAGGGCGGGAATTTACTAGAACTGCATTAAATATCTGGCAAGCAGAGACTCAACACATACTTTTTCCTGACAGCACTGGTATGCTGTGGTGGGGTTTTTTTAAACCAGAAAGCAGTTTTTCTGCTTCATAAAGCAAAGTGTTTAGATTCATAGTGCAGAGACCTTTGATGACCAAATGCAAACAAAAATGGAAATAGATTTTTTTCATTGCATTAGACTTTCTGATGGGACAGTGGCAGCGATCAGTCTTCCCTGTGTGTTCTCCCAGCCCCTTCGCAGGGAAAATCAGCTTTGGTGCATGGCAGAGGTCTGTCCTTGAGCAGTCCAGTACCGGAGCCTGGGGTTTGTGGGCTTGGCCTGTGAGGAGCAACTACCACATTACAGCTGCACTCGCTCTCTGCCCTGACCCCACCGTGCAACACCTGGCTTAGCGTAAACATGGTCGTATGAGCACTGTGTTTGCAAAATGTGGATGTGGATGGCGAGATTTGTTTTCTGGGGAAAGTTATGAAAGTTGAGCATAAACTAGGCTTCGTTTGTTGATGACAGGTTTTTTTCAAGCTCTGGGAGAAAGGCATTCCTAGGGCAAGTTAAAATAAAAAAAAAAGAACTTTAATCATCAACTGGTCCACTTATAAATTCACCCTATCCAACTTCATTTCTTTAAGGTTTTCACTTAGGAGACCTCAGTTGATCAGTCTGAGAAGAAAAATGACTTAATTTTATTTATTGTTAACATGCATCCTCAGGAGTTATTTTTAATAAACACATGAAGAAATCAATGCCTGCTGAAAACTGGTCACAGCTGTTGAGCTCAGAATGCAATCAGGGAGCTGCCTTTAACCCGTGCTACAGTCCGTGCCAAATAGCTACATTTTCAGCTTCTGCTTCAGTCCCACTGCTGCCGAGCCATAAAATGTGCCACTCCACTCCGTTTTCATCTATGAAGTCTCCTTCACCTTCCATCATGTAATGACATAAATCCAGCCTGTTGAGAATGCAATCAGTTTGTGGCAGCATGGTGATGTGTGTGCTACCCAGATAAGCAAATTGCCAGGAATCAGAACCTTCCCACCACAGTGCAAGTACCTGCCTTAATTTTCTCCCACACTGCAGCCTGTAAAAGTCTTGACCTACACAGAACACAGGTTAGACAGCCAACAAACATATTCCTTTCATTCAAAACTCTATTTATACTAACGTACTCCCAGCACCTAGCCTCTACAGGAAAAACTTCATAGTCCCAGTCATGATTTGAAGTTGCCAGGGATTAAGTCCTATGAAGTTTATCCTCACTTTCATTAGGGGCATCTTAAAGATGTGTAAGCCTGTTACTGTGTGATCTTCTTGCTGTAAAAAATCCATCCTGTCTTATCCTTTACTCATCCTGCTATGTGGTGTTACGACAAAGTGCAAGGATTTGCAGCCTCCTCCAGGGAAAAAAAAGCAACTGCCATGTGAATTCAGGCCTCACAAACCACATATTTCTGCCAATCTTTGAAAGCTGTGATCAAGCTCATCATTATACCTGAAAGCCTCTACAAAGAAGAAGTGTCTATACATCACTATCCCTTGCAAATGAGGGGAAAATAACTTTTAAAATCAGTTACTGGAGATTTGTTTCCCTTAAAAAAATGAAGCCACCTGGCAGTCACAGAAAGTTGCTATGGTGCTGCCTGTTTGTGCTCTCTCATGAAAGCCACAGTGATCTGGTGAACTGACGCCTATCTCTTGTGAGTAGGTGGGAACTAGCAATCCTGAAACTTGGCAAAATAGCCTGCATTGGGCTGTCAGGGAGTGGTGTGCATTAACCATCACAAACCAGTGTCAAAAAGAAGTCTTAATTCCCTGGTGAAAACGGCAGTGGCTGGCAAAGGTTGGATCTCTGCTGCCAAGGGCGTATATACAGCAGCATTTTAGTTGAAAACACAAGTTCAGATCAGAACCAGCTGGTTTTCTCTGCAGATCAGCTGCTAGTGACAAGCACTGTGCTGGTATTTTCCCAGGAGAGTAGAGGCATCACCCTAAGATTTTTGAAAGAAAAATGCCTGTAAAACTACATATGTGATCTACTGCTGAATGTCCTCACTGAAGTGATGAGTACCCACAGGTTTAGACCGTGCAGAATGCACGTCTGTCATTTAATATGACAGCAAAAGACAGAAGGTCTGTAGCAGATTTTAACACACCACTGTAACAGAGGCGTAAGTTAACTCAATCTGTTCTAAAGCATTGAAATAAATGTCTTTAATTTTTCCCCAAACATTTGAGGTTGTCATACAGGTTCCCATTTTGTATTCAGGTACGTTCCGTAACACATATTTCATCTGTCTGATCATTTAAAAATAGAATTGGTCATCATCCTAGTAGCATTGTAGCTATTATTTTTGGTGAGCAGGGCAAGACAGAGCTTTTTTCCTGATGAAAGATCACATATTAACAAACGTACAGTTTAGGTTTATTTCAGATATTGGACTAGGGAGGTACTTAAAGAAAAATTAAACCTAAATCAAACCTAGCAGATTTGACAAAGAAGTCATTTAAGGAGAATAAACATGAACGTTCTCTTGTCATTTTTTATGGTTAATTTTCTCAGTAAATTTGCTTTGTGGATTATGAAGTGGGTATTGACTTGGTGTTTTAGGAAAAGATAGTATCTTCAAAATACAAAACACATACCCTTATGTAAAAGAAAATAACTCAGCTGACATTTATATGAGCGGCACTAAAATATTTTATTCTGAGTGATGAAAATAAATCTCCCCATTTTCCCATCTCTCTGAAATTTGTACTTTATCTCAAAAAATAAGTAAACACAAACTTTGCAAACCGTCAGCACAAATCAGCGCTGTATTTGTGCAGGCATCTGTAGGCAGAGAGCTCGAAACAGCTCTGAAAGGGGTCTGAACTGTTCTGTTTCTCTGAACTCTGCCTGCGCCCAGACACCTGGTAACAAAAAGCAGGTGGGTGGAATAATCATCTTGCAAACTTCTGACTGGGAATGAATCACAGACTTTTGACTGATCTCGTGAAAAGGATACAACTGGGATCCACAATCTCAGATACCCAGTGCAAGTTTCACTGATAGCAAAAGAAACCTACTCCCATGCTGGGTGAATTTTATTTGGACTTTATAGCTCATGAAATCAAAACTAATAGAAAAGACTACCCGACTCTTCCACTTCAAACATACTTGTTGTCACTGAATGATCCGATGTACTTTGCTCCATTTGGAAATGTGTATGTTCCAGCCCCATGAAATATGTTGTCTTTGAACTTGCCTTCATAAACTGCCCCAGAAGGGTGTTCTAGCCTCCCAGTACCATTCATCTGCATTTAATGAGAGATGGGGGACAAAGAAAATGGTTATGTTTATGCTTACAGTATTACTTCCTTTCCTCACAACATCCGTTCAGATTGCTGCCTCCGAGTTTGCTATCATATTCAGATATGATCATGGAAAGTGCTTATTCTTTCAGATTTAGACAGGTTCCTGCTTCTACAAGGACTTCAGGTAAGAGCTTAAAGTTTTTGGCCAGACACAGTATCCAATAAACCCCTCCTCTGCCAGCAGTCTCACAGGACCTCAGCAATCTACGCAGCATTGAATTGCCATCCCCCAGCCCTGCAAACAACTCATCTACCCTGACAGCCTGAGGGGTTAATTAAATTTTCTGGAATTTCTTTCTGTGGATCAAGGCAGAGCAAGTCTTTCATTTGTTCAGCCAAGACTGCTAAGCCATGCCTGGGGATTTAAATCTGTGCGGTAAAGCACTTCTGTGCCATAATCTTAATTCTTATCATTGCACCAGTATTTTTCTAAGAGACTGAAAAAAGGATCAGACTAGATCTAATAAAGCCACAAGATGCTATCTCCTGATTGCAGACCCTTATTTGTCTTGTTTTGAGGACTGTCTCTTCCCCAGCATCAACAAAATAAGCAGTTTTCTTATACTTATTAATTCATTCCTTGGGGACTCGCTAACCAAAGGCAGACAAACAGTGGTGTATCTGCCGATGGCCAGAGCCCCCCTGTTTCATTGTGGGGTGTGTGTGGTGGGCATACACGTGCAGGAGGGCTGTGCTTCGCCCGCTGTGTGCACAGCCTATTCATGCCGGGCTTTCACGGTGGCCATGCGGTGCTGGGCCACACTCCCCGGGTGCTTCACGAGGGCCTGCCTGCCAGCGATGACCGGTGTGCTTGCAGGAGCCTCACGAGGCAGCAGGACATCTGACGACCCCAAGTGTCTCAAGTCTTCAGACTGGGCTGTGACAAGATTCCCGTCTGGAAGAAGAGCCTGTGGTGTTGGTCTGATCCTTCTCAGGTTATGAATTCCCCTTCTGTCTCTTTTTAAGGGTGGATATAGTGCTATGTCCTTATAGACATGCTCCACTCCAAACCTAGAGAAAGTTTAAAATGAAGGAATACTTAAAATTATCTTGTTGTTCTTCCAGCTGCCAACGTATGTCATTCTGTTGGCGCCAGTGTGGACTCCATGACCGTTCCTCTTGAGCACACCCTCAGGTGTCCTCTTGCACTCCCCCTCTAGAAAACGAGAGCGGTGGGAGACGGGTATTTCCACTTCGAGACAGAGAGCATCTGAGAGGCAAAAACCTGTGAGGTCGTGTGACGCCTTTCTTCTGAGGC